GTTCACATGAGTCGGATTTCTGCAGAATCGTGTTCGCCTGAAGGTGGTATTAGCAGAAGAATAAGCAGGTGCTTCTTTTACTTTTACTTCTTCTGTTTGTTTGTTTGTTTCTTTTTTCCCGTGGGAAGCATCAACGCAGCATTTCATTTACACATGGAGCTTTCTTGGAGCATGCACGGCTCCGTCCTGCAGAACTAACCCCATCTGGCTGGTGTGTTCAGTTCTTCAACTGAGCTGCCGAGGTGCAGAAGTCTTCTTCTGTGGTTTTGTCTTCAGCTGCATCACCAGCACCTTCTGGACTGGAGTAGAGCCAGGTCTTGATTGCATGTTGTGAGAAAAACAAAAGTGGATACGATCAGATGTCTGTTTTTATGTGCTGAAGGGGGAATTAAACCATCTCGAACTGTCTGAAAATACGAGACTCTAAATAATCCACCTTGAGGAAGCTTTAGTTTTTGTTTTGTCCTGCCTTTGTGTCGATGATACAGTAGCCGAGTCTCTGCGGTTTCAGAGAGGCAGTTTCCCATTTTATGACTCACTGTGAGCATTAGCGAGGTTATGAACAGTACTTGCCCTGCGGTGTCATATCTGCAGGAATTTAAACCGAAGCCTCGAGTTACGAGATCTTTGCACCTCATTTGAATGTCACGTCTCTTCAGGCTCATGCTGCACAAATGCTCCTATGACAGGTGAGCTCATTGGGGGGGGGGAGAAGAAAAACATGGAGGAACATTTGACGCTTCTAACACTGAACATGAATTACCTTTAATTACTGAAATATCTTCATAATTGGTTTTAATCTCAGCTGTCAATCACGTCGTCAGAGGAGGCGTCAGAGTTCTTCGTCCTGGAACAAAAACTTTTCACATTTAAAAGTCACCACAAAACGGTTCTCCCATGATTCGTCACCGCGAGTGTTCTTCCACAAAAGTCCTCTTTATGTTGAGGAGGCTCCAAACAACTGCTCGACTGTCTTGTCTTGGAGCTCCCATGTTGTTAAATGAATCGTGCATTGAGGCCTCGACAACTGAACCGTCTCACACCCTCCTGTCTGAAAATGCCTTTGTCTGTCTGCGCCAAAAATCCCACTTCGACATACCATAAGAGGGGAAGGAGGAGGAGGAGGGAATCATGGGTGTTGGTTTCTGCAGAGCCTCTGCCAAGATGTCCCACGGGGGAACTTTTCTTACTCTTTATTTAAGAATTCAGTATCTGAACTCAGTGAGGAGTGTGAATGATTTACTGCAGTGATGGAGAGATTTCTAGGGTTTTTTTTACAGTCTAGGATTTAAACCACATTCACATGTTTAAGTGCAGATTTGGTGCTTGTTTTCTATCTGTTGTACTTCCGCTGTAGACACCAGGTGGCAGCATTTCCCTATTTCTTTGTTTTGAGTTTTTCTTTGCATCTCAAACTTTTAAAACGACAGTTAAAGCTCTGTAGAGACAAAGAAATTAGTCTTTAATCAACCAAAATGTAAGTATTTATTCGGCAAAATCAACATTAAAAAACGTATTATTATGTGTGTTTCTTACTCCTTAGAAAGAGCAGGAAAAGAAAGATTAAAGCAGAGCTTTCTACACTTGTCCGGGTATCAACATGCTAAAAGTTCTTGCAGTAATTAGTACACTTCTAACTGCATAATTAAAGCTTCAAATAAATGAGCAAAGCTGGAGTTTTTGCAGACTTGGTGTGCTTCAGCCTCTGCTCTGCTGCCATCTGCTGGCCCATTGAAATACTGCAGATACATTTATTAATGTAACTAATGACTGTCAGGGGAAAGTAGCTATGAATGATTTTCTTTTCTTTTCTTTATTCTGAATTCAGTTTTTGAAGCTTGTTCGGATTTATTGTGGATTCAATAGTCAAATAAAATTATTCGGGATTATATGTGAGGATGACTCAGTGAGGAGGAGGAGGAGGAGGAAGTTCATACTGAAGCTGTCAGGAGGATAAAATCAAAGTGTGATTGTTTTTTTTTTTTTTTTACTCTATAACTGCTGCACACACAGAAACTACATGGACCACCAACATAAAGGTTAACATGCTTTCAGAGACATTTATCAGATATTTTTTCACCTTTTTCTTCATAATCACTGAACCCTAACCTATTAACTATAAAGATCCAGGATAAGAGGGAGTGTGTGTGTGTGTGTGTGTGTGTGTCTGGGTGTTTCTCAGGCCCAGCAGCCTCTTTTCTCCATGTTTAATTGGTGTATCTTGTTTCGGTCCCACAGGGATTATCCTCAGTTTCACACGCTCACATGTATGTTCTTGACCCATAAAACTGTGGTGAGGAAACACACATGTTCTCATGTTGAACCAGGCGCTACGGAGCAGGAGCTGTTGGTGGCGCTAGTCGATGTTTTATGGAGATATTATTTCTTTACAGTCGAACACAGGGCTGTGAAATCTCATGCAAACTTTATACGATTTACTCAAAATAATAACATTCAGTCAGCTCGCCCCAAAAAGGAGGTGTGACATTTAGATTGATACGGCACTTTTATGCTATTACTTTTTATTTTGAAGCCACAACCTCCTGCAAGTTAGCATAGCTTAGCAAAAAGACTGGAAATTCTGACCACTGGATCAGCATCTCTGAAGCGTCCTATGAACATTTTGTATCATCTTGTAATTCTGGCAACAAGTAGGAAGATTGTGTAAAACAGGCATGTTTGCATATTGTCTTGGGTCTTTTGAAATGCAATGTGGGAAATGTAAGGGCCCATACTGGAATACTTGAGTTGGGGAAAAAGAAGAAAAATGTCGTTAATGTCAAAAGCTGATGTTTTCTGACTGTTTAAGGAGGAAACGTGTTCTTTAAATTGACGACACATCCCCTCTGGACCTTTAACATGCAGCTGTAGTCCTGAATGTCCTGTATGTACTCTCTGTATGGACACTGCATGTGTGTGTTAGTGTGTATGATGCTCCACATGCAGAGCGCCAGTCGTCTTCATGGACTGACATGGAGTCACTGAACCACGACGCTGTGGTGTGTTTACTTACCCTGCTCGTGGCCCCGTGCAGGTCGGAGCAGCTGTCAGCTGAGAGTGATGAAAAGTGCTGCAAACACAGAGGGGGTCGGGGTGGGGGGGCACTAATGTGGGAGAGTCTGCGGTGCATTAATGGGGAAATAACGACTAAGGTGATGAACCTGAACGCACCATTGAGAAGAGGAGGATTCATTAGTATTTAACCTGAGTTTTTGTATTTAAAGTTTAGATTGCTGAAAACAGATTCTGAGTGTGCATGTTTTCGCCCTTTTTATGAAAAGTAGCGCTTTTCATATCAAACTTTTTTCAAGGAAATCCCATAAACTACCAATCTCTAATATTTCTGATGCATTTCAGGCATTCATTGGGATTGCATGGTTGGAGAAAAAAAAGAAATCTCATTGCACAATCAGCACAGAAAGCAGACATCAGTAGAAAGCAGACATCAATAGAATCAAACAGAGTTCCTGCATGAACTGCTGTCTGTAATTACTGCACGATTACAACATATTAGCTTTGTTTTCTTTATCAGATTAAGATGCGAACATGTGTGCAGTTTTCATGCACTGCTTTGCATGAACACACTTCTTTCTTGTGTTATCAGCTTGTAGCAAAGGCTAGAGTTCAGATCTTTACCATCTCAGTTTTGCAGCAAACATCCAGAAGTAGATAATCGAGTTAACTAAGAATTAAGACAACAACAAAAACGCAAAACGGATCATTTAAAATGTAAGTATTTTCAAACTGTTAAAGTGCTTTGATGCACTGATGAGCATAATTTTGTCCTTTCTGGACGTCTGAGACAAGAAATGTCCTCTTGAACAGCTGGCTTTCACACTGTAATAATCTCATATTTTCTCCATCAGAATTCATTTAGCACACATTGTGACAGCAGTAGCGGCGTTGTATGGATGCGTAAATTACCAAAATGTGTCAGCCGGCAAACCTCCAAATGTCGTGCAGCAGCGGCAGCGTGGGTGTGGGAGGTCCGAGGGCTGGAATGTGTAACAGCTGGATGTCTGAGCTCGACAGATGAGGCGGGTATCTGCAAGGCGATGGGGGCACACGGGGGCACACAGAGGAGGATCCCTCCCTCTGCTTATCGCAGAGCTGTGAGAACCTGGAAGTGGTACATTTTCCGAGGATTTTCTCCGATGAAGCAACGGCGTCGGACCCAAGGGAGCAGAGCTTAAGACATCGATCCAATCAGATACGCCCTCTCCGGCTGCCACTCTCTCTCAGCTGCTGTCTGTCAGTCCTCCTCACACTCCCAAAACAGCCGAAAGTTTCAACTGTTGTTCTGACTGTTTGGTTTTTCCACTCTTTGAAAAAAGGCGATAAATCACAACAACATGCCCTCATTGTGTAACTGAACGTCACATTTTCCTGATGCCCTCTTTTCCTTTCTGTTGTTATCTGAAACAGCAAATGAAATCTTTTCTCTGCTGATGCCTGATATTCCCTCGGTGTTATCTCAACCTGTCAGCTGCTGTTTCCATTATTCCAGTATTACTCATCCTTTTTTATCATGTGCACTTGTTAACCCTCATTTCTGGAACATTTAAGAAGCCTAAAAATGTAAAACTATTCAGTTTTTTTACAAGAAATAGTCAAAAACCCTCCCTCATCTTCATCTGGGCCCTCTTAGATCAATCTCGCCTTTTTAGATCCATCTTCATCTTTATTTTCTGACTGTCCCACTTTGCAGATTTCCTATAAAGACTATAAAGAAAGCTAATAGTTATTACAGTATGACTCAGATAGATATTTAAAAACCTCATATTTTACTGCAATACTTTCTATACAGAATGGGTGTGTCATTGTGGGAGTATAAACTTGAGCTTGCACTTTTACGTGCTGCAGGAAAGGTCCTGAGGGACACACTCATCAACTCTTACAGGGGAGGAGTTTGGGGCAAATCGGAGTAACCAATAACTTCCATCATCATCATAACAAGCCTGCCTCCACTCTTGAGTTTCCTCCTTGTGTGTGCTTTTTCATGCAGAGAACATGCACTGTGAGCTCTAGAGGGAGGGTCTGTGAGAGTGCGCAGAGTTTTTATGTCTTGGTTTCCATTCAGTGGATGCTCAGTGGCCCTTGAACAGCTTGGACTTAACTGCTGAGCGGCTGACTAACAGGTGGTGCGTTCGGGGGGGAATCAGCGAGAGCTCAGAGTGTGGAGGACCGTTGCAGCAGAATGTTGAAGTGGTTGCTTGTTGTGGTTCTCTGTGCCGGGGGCTCGGAGGCCTGGTTTTGGCCTCAGATCCAGAGCCTACGACACAGGCCGCGGCAGAGACAGGTGCGACCACCTTGGCAGCCAAAGACACTCAGAAAAAGGAGGTGGAGGAGGATGACGACCTGTCTGGGGTCGGGGAAGAGATAATCAACGTGGCCACAGGAATCCGTAAGTTTGTCCAGGCGTGGGACGCGACCACCGCCCTGCCCACGACCCTGCCCACGACCCTGAGCGCCAGGACGACTAACGGAGGCCTGACAGCGAAGGTGGAGAGCGCGAAGGTGGAGAGCGCGAAGGTGGAGAGCGCGAAGGTGGAGAGCGCGAAGGTGGAGAACGCTAAGCCGAACGCTACGGGTAATCCAGACAGGTTCAGAGGGGAGAGGGAGGAGGAGGGGGTTGGGATCGGGGTACGGGATGGAGACAGGTCGAGATCAGGGCTCATGGCCGATCCTGAGGTAGATTCGGAAATGGTTTTCGAAGGTGCAAAAGTCCCACCTAGCAATGTAACCGGGAACTTTAGTGATGTTTCTAAAATGAACGGGACACTTGATGGTGTTTGGGATCCGACGCTTACCCCTGGTATAAATAATTCTGACCCAACTTGTCTCCCGGTGCCCTCTGATTGGCCCATTTGTTCCAGTAAACGGCCAAGATTCCTCATGCTACCTAACTTTTTCAACCACAAATCTGTGGAGGAGGTGGCGGCGGTTCTACATAAGTGGGCGTGGCTTACAAAAGAAAGGTGCCACCATGGTGCAGAGTGGTTTCTCTGCCTCCTGCTGGCGCCAAGGTGTCCTTCGCCCGCCGTGTCCTTTCACCTGCCTTGTCGCAGTTTCTGCCAGGTGCTGCAGGACAGCTGCTGGGCGTCTCTGGAGAATGGGCGTCTCCCGGTGGAGTGTCACGACCTGCCCGAGTGGCCGCAGGAGGCGGGGCGCCCTGCGTGCGTGTCAGTTAGTAACTGGAAAGGTAACCCCGGCGGGTTAGAATGTATCCTCTTTGGTGATACATTTTGAATCCCATGTCACGTCGCTTTTTGTCGGTGTTTGAGCTTTAGTCTGCGTAAGTCTGTGTCGTTTGTTTGTTCGGTGTTTGCTTTGGTAACAAACGTGTCCAGGTATATCGTGGCTTTTGTGGATTTATTTGCAGGTCTGATGGATGATTTTGCATTTTAAACCCATTTTAATGCAATCACAAGAAATCTGGATCAGTGGTGACAATATTACAACCTATGTTGTAGATGATAACAGTTCAACCTTTAGTCACAAACCTTTGCTGTATTTATTTAACAAACTTAAATACTTCAGTTGACAGAACTTCACTGAGTTAGCATTTCTTTCAATCAATACAGCAAAGCAAACATTATCTTTTATATTACACTACTACATTACCCACAATGCAACTCCACCACTGACAGTTCAGTCTTCCAGGTGAGGTCAGGTGAGATTCAGTAGTGCAGAGATAAAGTTGGCTACAGAAGCCTGTGAGGACATTTCTTTGTTACTCAACAAACTCAGATTTAAATATGATGTCTTTAACAGAAATTACCCTGACTTAAGTGACATCACTTAAGGCAAATTAACCTAATTCATTTACTCTAGAGCTGAAATAACACCACACCCGAACTATAATGAATACTCGATCTCAGGCATCAATCTAGTAGTTGCAAGTGAAGTTTGCATCAGCCTGCAAAGTACAAAACAGTCCTGAATAATGCAAAATATCTAGAATTTGCAGTGAATGTGTTTGAACATGCAAAACAAGTGTTGTGGTCGTTTCAGTGGCTTTTTAATGTGATGTCGTGTCACTTTCGTTCTGGAGGTTAGTCAGCATAAAAGCATGCAAATCAAACACGTCCGTACATGTCATTGTCTGATGCTGCATGCAACCTTCCTGTGATCGTCTTGTCAGCTGTGCAGAGCAGAACCTCATCTGCGGAAGCATCGTTTTTTTGTGTGATTTTGTCAGCAATGGTCGGCAACAGCAATGTCACAGGTTCTTAGAATGCTTTTTCTTGGTCACAACTTTTATTTATGTTTTTTTATTTATTTATTTTTACAAAGATTGAGTGAGATTCTTTACACATTACACATTTTCAAGGTTTCCGAGTGAATTTATGTGAAGACAAGCGCAATAATTACTCATGATCTACTACACAGCTCACAAACCCTTCAGACAGGAAATGCTCCAGAGGCCCGCGTCCTGCGTTGGAGTGGCGTCGTAAATTGTGCTGTATGGACTCTTTTCTCTCAGGGGTTAACAGCCTGAACCCTGTTACATAAAAGCATCTTCATCATATGTTTCCCACAGGAATATTTAATGTACATGTTCCAGCTTGAAGTGGCAGGTCATTTTGTTAGTTTCCATGTGTTTGGATAACCTTCAAACTCGAGGATATTTAAAGACAGAATTTAAAACTGCTGTGAGACAAAGATAAGTGAATGCATCTGCAGCCCTGCGTGTGGGATGTCCATGACTGATTATTGCCAAGATTAAGTGAAAATGGCTTCCTAAAGAGACCTTTTATACAGAAAGCACAGCAGAGTATAGAACATGTTTTTCACATTAGGCTGTTTTTATTGAGTGTGAAACACCTGCACTGGTAACATCACAGAACGGGTTCAGATAAAGACCACAACAATTTATATTTCATTTTAACTACTGAGCTATCAGAAAGAACACTTATAAGGTCACATTTTGATATTCAAGGAATCCTTTTGAAGATCAGAAGTCCTGCAGAATGGAAGATTCCATTTTTTAAATGTGAGGATTTGCTGCTCTTTGTCATGTTGAAAGTCTTTGTTTTTAAGATATTATTAATGCTTCAGGGACATTTGTGATGAGCATTTGCTGACACTTGGACAAAACTAAAGCATTTATGATTTATTTTAGATATTATTTGTCAGAGTAATGAAATTACAAAAAGAATCGCTGCAGGCCTGATTCTATCATCTTCATTTTCAGGACTGGAGGCTTTACCAGGGAACGCAGGGCAAACGTAGGAGTTCAGTGTCGGACATTATCTTCTGCTCTTCTTAGTTTGCCTGAGAATTGATGGTTTCCTCCACACAGCACAAAACTTGTGGAGCAATAATCCCTCCCATCACATCCTACACTGGCATGCCGACACACTTTTCATTCCTGGGTTATCTCCTCGTCATCGTGTTTCACAATGTTCTGATCAGCTGTTGTGGATTGTTTTTGTGGCTTTAGAGAGCGGTTGGTGTTTTAAGCATCCAGAGTCTCAGAGAGGGAAACAATCAGACCATCTGTGGAGGAGAAGGACGGGGCTGTGGATGGCATTCATGACAGCGGCTGTGGGAGAGGAATCAATCTGCAGTGGAGGAAAGAGTTAGGCAATTGTGCGCTTCGCTTAGGAGAAAGGGCAACGGTGTCGCGACGAGAAAAAAAGAGAGCCTTGTGACTGGGGTGCTTGTGAACCAAAGTATCTGCCAGGGGTCACAGGTCACAGCCAGTCGCCCACCCTCTGAAACCAGTAACACTTGATGGGTGGTAATCAAGTGTTTGACAGAGCATTAGAGGATGAGCAGAGACAGAGAGAGTGAGAGAGGCCTTTGTGTGGGCAGGGAGTTACCCGCTGCTTCAGGAAAAGTCACAGACTCAGTCACTGTCTGACAAAACAGTGTCAAGCTGCAATTTGTCGTCCTTCCTGTCATCCTCTAATGAGCTTTTTTCAAGAACTGGTTTCAGCTCCTGCATTCAAAGCAACAGCAGCAAAATGAACAGCAATAAACTGCAGTTGTTTAAATACTATAAATGTATTATTCCATGATTCAATGTATGGACTAAAAGTACATTTTGCACACATATGAGAAGTTGCTGTTTACTAATACCTGTTGTTGCACATTCCTCCTCACCATTGCCCGATCTCGTCACACAGTTGCAACATTAAAACTGGATTGCAGCCAAAATAAAAACACTATTTCAAATCCAAACACACACACACACACACAAAAAGAGTCCAGCTGAAGTAATGTGAACTCAGTGACTCTCCCCACTGATCCCCGTCACTCAGCTGTAATTGGCTCTCAGCTCTCACTTTATTCAAACATGGCTTAAACTCTGTCACAGCTGCGTCGCCTCCGTTTGATGTGATGACTGAATCCACTCTGCTTTTCAGACGTGTGAAGTCAGCTGCTTCTGTCTCAAGAGGTTCGAACTACAGCTGGGAGTGTTAATGGTTGAGCCCGCTGGTTTAACTGGCAGCTGGGGGTCTCTTGATGGTGTGAATTGAAGTCTCTCATTCACACTGGAGGATTGTTCCTGAACTTGTTTTGAGTAAGAGTCTCTGAACTCCCTAAATAGTTAGGATTCCTTCAAAGTGCATCATTAGAAAAATTAGCTTCTTCATGCAGTGCTTACTCTTCCTAATAAGGTCTGCAGATTTCTCTTGGAGGTACACTGAGCTCTGATTGAGGCATTTTTTGGTAAGGGTGTAATGATCTCCACTTTTGATTTATCACGTCATGGATGACTGAGAACCTGCACGGACTTCTCCACTTTAGTTTGCAAGAAACTAAAAGACTAGAACCCTGACATTGCTTTTGTGCATTTAAAGATGAGTAATTAGTTTAAATGTTGGACATTTTAGGATGCAATGAGCTGCAGGATAAACTTAATCTTATTTTATATACTATATATGTTATTTATAGAGTCATGATAGGCCGTGTTTCTTTTCTAATTTAATATTCTCTGCAGTAGAAGTCTCTTATTTCACCCCTGCTGTATTTTCCACGTTTGTTTTAGCTCACTTTTTTTATGGAGCTGCCAATGTGGAGGTAGAGTGTCAGTTTGGCTGTATAGATTTAGTACCACATATTATAGGGTCAACCTGCACAAGAAATACAATCTGTGTTTGCGGCTTCGTTTTGTCGCAGTCTGGATTCAGTTCGGTTTCGTCCCACGATGTTTCTGCAGCTCAATTCATGCAGCTTGCAGTGCAGAAGATTCAAATGCTGATTCTGCCCTTTGAAACTCCTGTTTCCACATATGAACTTAAATACCTGAATCGGTCACCCGCCTGCAGTCGGTTGTAGTTTGGTGGGTTGAGGCTCAAAGCTTCTTGGTCAAGTTTAGAAACAGAGATCAGGATGTGGGTAAAATACACTTTGTATTGGTTACATAGGTTATGTGAGTACTACAAAAGTTAACATTTCACCTCTCCAAAGCAGAGACTCCTTACTTCTCATACTTAATCTCCAGTCTTCCTCCTTTGCTCCTGTCACACTAACACCCAGTTACATACATGTAGGGGTTGTAATAAACTTCTTGCTCTACTACATTTTTCCGAGGATGAGCCTGCAACATATGATCCGTTCTATGGTTGTGTATTAACAGTGGCAGTTCTTGTTTTAGGCGGGTGAAGGATTTTAATTCAGTGGCGGACGAGTGGGCAGTGGCTTTAGGGTAAGACGCAGCTTGTTTCTCATAATATTTAATTGAAAACACAATCTAACATGAGTCAACTCCTTATGTTTCTCAAATCTCCACCCCATGCAAACTCCCCGAATCCTTCAAAGATATTTTTATAAGATATTTGTGAAATTATTTAAGTTATGTTTATGGTTTGGAGCTTTGCATCCCGATCAAAAATAGTGTTTTATAACCAGATGGATGTTTTTTTTTTCCTGAGTCATCAGTTGCGAGGCTGATAACAGCTTTTCAGACAGATCGTAAGAGACGGATATAAAGATGAAGTTAGACTTGTTTGCCTCTTTTTCAACTCTTTTGGAGGCGCTCTTCTTCCCTACAATGACATTTCAGTCTGTTTCAGCTGGCATGGCTCCTCAATGTAGGCTTCTGGGACTGACTCAGTCTGTGTTCTTCCTCCTGTTCGAGTCCCTCATGGTCCACTTTCCCATGGACATCTGACACGCATTTCCTTCCTCTGCCTCAGCTTCTCCATCTGTCCGTCTGTCTGAGTGTTCACCAGCTTTTTTTTTTTCCCCTCACACACTACAACAGGCATCACATTTCTCCGGGGTTATATGTTGGAAAATCTTCTGTAACAGAACCCATGAAGTCATTTTTCATTTAACCGATGCCCTCAGGGCTGAGAAACATGGCTCCATGTTGTTCTTTCTTATAATCGGTCCTGTTGGCATGAAGAACAGGACATGAAGCCATGAGCAGAGATAAACGTGATTATTTCATCTGAGAAGTTCTCACGTTTATGTGTCGTGCCAGCGTCCATCTGTCGTCTGGAGAAGAGCCAAGTCAAAGAAGCAGCTGATCCCTGACTCAAAGGAAGCTTTAAACAGACATGCATTCATTTTTTGTTTCACTTAGTTTATCATGTGCTGCTTAGACCAAAGCAAAGGGTATTACGTACAGGTGAGAGGTTGACTTTTTATTTCGCTCTAGCGCAGGAAAGTAGAAGACACGATGGACGTTTGTCTATGATACCTGCAAACCTCCTGAGCTCCTGTCAGCCTCTGAACTGTCCAGATGATAGAAATAGTCCTGCACACACCGTCAGCCCCATAAAATGGTGTCATGTTGTTGTTTTTGGACTAAACTATTTGATCAGATCAACACATGTTAGTTAGTTAGTGGATTGAAGACATGCTGATTGGCTCTTTAAGTCACCTGCAGACATGGAGAGGCTAGCTTTCCCACTTGTAACCAGCTGCAGTTTAAAAACCCTTTACGTTGTCGGGTCTTTGAAACCTGTAGAGCAGCTTTTCATCATTCAATAAGCGCCTTCATTTTATTCTGATTTTATTCTGACAACAGGAGCATTGACTTGAGCTCTCAATTGATTTAAAAACCTTTCTAACCATTTTATCAACATGTCAGTGGATTAGCTCAAGTAAATATAAGTGTTATTAATGTTTATTTACCTCTTATATACAAGAGGTGCAAATAGGTGAAATTATTAAGAGACTAACTATGAAAATGTCTAAAAATATATGTTTTACCTTTTTTCTTCCTGTGCATTTTGGGTCACAGCAAAAACTCGACTACCCTCAGAGTGTACGCCTGAGATCGTAGCTCTGATAAAGACATGACAAAGTGTGTGTACTCTTACATAATGCTTGTGTGACTGGAATGGAAGAATAAGCAGGCATTATTCTTGCTCATGGGAGCTTTTAGCTGTGACTGGTGGGAGAGCTGTGCTCGGACTGGACAGCTTCCAGATGTGAATGTGTGTGTATGAAGCGAAACAGGACCTGGCTGCAGAAAGTTCACATGCTGGTACAAATAAGAACGTTTCCTTTCGTCATTTATCATTTCAAAAATTGAGTCCTACGCTCATAATCACACCCACCTGACCTGTGCAACAGCTGCAGCAGCTGTGACACTGTGAGATTAACCAATAGCAGGTGCCCTCAGTGGGAAGTTGACCACCCGGCATGTCCCGTCCGAGATCCAATTGGATGAAATCCCACAAGATCCGGACTTAGCTGTCGCTGCTGAGCACTTTGAGACTACATAACACACCCTTCATGCAACAAGGACTGTGTAAATGAAGTGTTTGTGTGTGTGTGTGGGAACATGTGTTCAGGATTAGTTCCTGCCATGCTGGGCTGCTGAGTGCAGATGTGCTGTACGTTATGAGCTGGTTGGACCATCGGTAACTTGGCATGGCAGGGTGCTACACGAGGAAGTGTTACTTTGCTCTCAGCAGGTGGAAAGAACGCTGTGAACTTAGTTTCAAGATGAACTGGTAACTTTAGTTAGCTCTGTGTCATAGCCTCGAGTTATCCTGGTTTTTGGATACATTAGAGCGCATGTTCAGGACTATGTTTCACATGGATGTTGAATCATCATGACGAAACACAGTGGACTGAATGTCTGTTTCAATGGCTTTCCACTCATTAGTTAGTTCTGGTATTAATGAAACACAGTACTAATGTTCATTGGGCAGACGTCCCCACATTGAGCTCAAGCTTTTGTGAGCTTTTGTCAGAGTTGCTGTTGTGTGACTGAACACTTCAGAAACTCGGGAATCCCCCACAAACTCTGACCTCTGTGACCTCATAATACACAAATATACTTTTTTTATAACTCCATTAATCTGTGGTTGATGGGCCATCCTCAGGAGACGAAGAGTGGAAGTGTCCACACTGTCCACAAGACAAAAAGTGTTTTCCCTTGTGGTTCAATTCATGAGAATATCATTTTGAGTCTAAAAGTTTCTTCTCCTTCCCTTTGGACTCTTTCACTGTATGGGAACTAAAGTATCAGCATCCCCCCCATTCAATTGACCTCAGTTTCACAGGCACAGTGGTGTAAAATTAGAATTCAGCGTTTAACATCTTGTCACTAAGTTAGCCAAGTTTTTTTTTCCATATAGTTGTGATTTGCTGATTGTTTCTGTGCTTTTTAACCGACTGTCTTTGGAACTGATGCTGCCTTCAAGGTATGATTACAGCTGTACAGTACTCTTTATCTTGAACGTTTTTGAGGGTTTTAACTGTTTTGTTGAACAATCAAAACACTGTTTTTGGGTGATGTGATGTACAAATGGAATCCAGTACATTTCAATTCAATATATATATAACCTGGCTTTACATTTTTTTTTTGACAATTGAAGGATCACTCAGACGTTATTTGTCCCCTATGCGCACTAAGTTTCCGTTTTACAGACGCTCTTGAAGGCAGCACTTGTTAAATTTCTTTTAAATACTATCCGTTAACTTTCTCCCTCTAACTCTTATCTCTCTCTCTCTCTCTCTCTCTCTCTCTGCAGAAGAGAGCGGCGTCTCTTTGCTTCAGCTGATCGGAGACCCTCCGCCTGATGAGATCTCCCGGGTCTACGGACAGAGGGGGGAGGCCTCCTATGTCTTCACCCCGGGCGCCGTGTCGGGCCAGCCGGCTCTGGCCCACATCCCAACCCTTTCCATCGCCACTTCTCCCTCGTCTTCCATATCAAACCTTCTTCACCGGCCGGCTCCGTCCTCTTCTCCATCACAGACGGGTCTCAGAAGATCATGTACATCGGTGTGAAGCTCAGCGCCGTGCGCTCCCAACGTCAGAGGGTGCAGTTCTTCTACACCGAGCCCGACTCTGATGCTTCGTATGAGGCGGCCAGCTTGAGGTGCCGAGCATGGTGGGAACATGGACCCGCTTCTCGCTGTCTGTCTTTGAGGAGACGGTAACTTTCTACCAGGGCTGTGACTCCGAGCCGCAGGTGGTGAAGTTCGAGCGCTCACCTGATCCTATGGAGCTGGACCCGGGGGCGGGGATCTTTGTAGGTCAGGCAGGAGGAGCCGATGCTGACAAGTTCCAGGTACTGTGAACATTTTAAAATAAAGGTATTAAGTAAGTATTATAAAGAGTAAGCTCCAGTACAAAAACAATCAGGATCCAAAGTCACCACAAAGATTTCAACCTTTGAAAAGGACTTTGGGGACATTTTGCCAAAATAGGAAGTTCTTATATGATCATTATATGTGTACCTTTAGCGCTTGTCAGCTCCAATGACCCTCCCTACTATTCATATTTATAGTTTTATGTGTTTCAACTCTGAATGTCGATCCGCCAAAGAAAGAATTCAACAAATGTCTGAAAACGCAGCTCAGACGTGCCGCCATATTTCTCCACATTTGGAGGACAGAACTTCTCATCGTCATCATCTGATAAAATGGAGAATCCCCAAATGTGTGGAAATGTGAGAGAAGTATTTGGAAACTGATAGATGGTATCAGGGAAAAGAAGGCTTTAGGGTAAGTGCATGTTCCCCTTCAAAGCTCGTGTGACGGTCACATGTGGTCGCCCCGGGGGTCACTGGCTCGGTGCTCTCTAAAGGTCAGAGGTTTAAGGTGAGAGGGGAGCTGAAGTGATAGATTTACTAGAAAAGAGGATGCTTAATTCTGTCCTTCCGGTTGCCTGTGACCCCGCCACAAAACCTGCCGCTGTGAGGTGCCGCAGGGAGATATTAAAAATCAGACAAATGACCCTCTCCCACACCTGCTCTTTTAGCACACAGCGTATTACTCTGACTTTTCCAGCTCCCGTGGGTGACATTCAGCGCAGGATTCATTGCTGTTTCTTTGTTCATTTGTGTCAGAAATGTGATGAGCAAACATCTCTTCAGCACTTGAGCATTTCCTCTGGTGGAAACCCCGGAGTTTAGTGTCTGAAAGATGGACCGTTCTTCCAGATTCTGGACGTTGAAATAGATGCATCTCTATAAATTAAAGTCTCTCATCTGTGGAAGTCATTACTGCTTGTGCTCATTACTCCGAAGGGAATGTCTCCTTTTCTCTGAATTACTGCTCTTGTGTTTGTCAGAATACTTTAATAATAAATGATGTATTTTCTATCATATTAGTAGATAAATGTTTCCATTCTCCAAAGAACAACTACAACATCATTAGTTAGAAAGGAGCGGTGGAGGAGTGCAGCCATTCTTTCTCTACATACTATCCAGATTTCTCTCTGTCTTTATCGATCATTTAATTTAATGATCATTTGTATTTTAATGTGAATATTCTCACTTCTTTTCAAGCATGTTATCATCGGCTTTACGCCACATGATCTATCTTTCTAAATACTGACTTTCCTCTCACCCTTTGTACGCAGTTAGAGAACTTTGCAGAAGCTGAAATCATGAACGACTGCACACAAATGTTTTCCTTCATGGGGAAATAAACTCATTCAGTTTGTGTGTTTGTGTATTTTTTTAGGGTGAGATCTCCGACTTTAAACTGGTTGGAAACCCTCGAGCAGCCGAGCGCTTGTGCGAGGACGAGGATGACGAGGACTTTGCTGTACGTATTATATCTTAAATATTGAAAATGTTGGTGTCCCTGAATGTGAATTTGGTGCAACATTTCTGTCTCTTGCAGGCGTCTGGTGACTTTGGCAGCGGTGATGGGGAGGGGAGACGGACGGGACACACTGTGAAGGTCAATACGCTCCTTACTGTTTCTATAAGTGTTCATCCTAAGCAACCTTAATAACTTAAGTGAACAAGGAAATGAATGGAAACATCTGTAGGCATTGAAGATTACATCAGGTTTGGTGTCTGCACAAATCTAAACCTTTATTCTTCTTTTTTTAAATTTCCAGACCACCCCGGACTCCCTCCGCCCCATACCTGCACCCCCTCTGATCTCGTCGAAGGGAAGCAGAGTCAAAGAAACAGGTAAAGAAATGAAGCAACTCAGCAGCTACCGTGCCGCTCTGCACAGTACACACAAACTAAAAGGAGTAGAATCACACAGGAGCTGCTGCCAAAGAAACGTCCTATAGATCGACTTCTCTTTTATGCAGAAGTATGTGCATCAAGTTGCCTGTCTGGACCTGAGAGGGAGGGGAATTTCCCTGCGGGGTTTAATAAAAACTGTGGGGTTTTAGACGCTCTAGCTCCCCCTGGTGGTTGGTTAGGATACTTTTTGAGCTTTTATAAAACTGTGGGTAAAGAGACTCATGTTTAACTTACTTGTTTCTTACTTAAACAAATGCCATCAGAGTGATTTAAAGACTGCAGGCCAACATGTGCTTCCTGTCACAGCAGGTAAAGTTGTGTTTGTGTTGCGCCTGTGTTGAATTTTAGACGCCAGGTTTCGGCAGGAGTCGGTGGACCAGAGTCGGTCTGGACAAGCTGGATCCAGAGGTGGGTCACAGCCTTGCTGCAGATTAAGATTAGGAATGTGTCCTAATCAACATGAGGCCGTCCTATCGCAGGACAGAATGAGCGCGTGGTGTCGGGGTGACTTGGTCTTTCATTATGTTGGAGCATGTTGTTGTTGTTCCGCTACATGACAACATGAGCGTCAAGGTGTGGGAGTTGGTTTGTGGTTTTCTGAGGGGATTCGGATTTTACTGGAATCTGTGAATGTGCATGTTTTAATCAAAAAAGCTCTGAAACCCAGCTCTTTGTGGTTTTATGTTGAATATTTCTTAACATGCTTTCAATCAAATAACCCAAGAAAAGAAGAGGAGTGTTTGAAACTATGATGTTTCTTTCTGTTTGGTGGACAGGAGATCTTAATGAGAAGCATAACCCTTAAAGACAGGGACCCAAGTGAGATGTTTTTAGTTTGCAATGAATGATGGAGGAATGAAAATATAACAAATAAAAACACAAGCTGTTAACAAAGGGTCAAATGTATTATGATAATCTCAAGTGGAAAGAGATGGTCAAATGAAGGGACAGCTGCACTGCATGATATAAAATAATGGGTTTGATCTTCCTGCGAGGGGTAAAAACAAAAAGACGGAAAGAAGAACCTCAAATATGTTAATTTGTCTTCCAGTAAAGACTCGTTTGACTAGTTCAACGTGTTCTCTTGATGTTTGGAGTCATTAAACATTGAGACTACAGAGAGAAACATTTTAAATCACAAATCCACCACCCACTCTCTCCTTTGATCTGCTTTGTCTTTTGTATTGGGTGCTTCTTTTTTTTTTAACTTTATTCACGTGTTTGTGTGTTTAACATTTTTAAGTTTCATGCTGACGGGGTTTAGGGATTTGAATGTTTATCACCTGACTGATCAGTTTAATGCAATTTTACGGTTGAAATGATGCTTAATAGTTTGAGAATTAAGAAAAAAATAGAAGATGGTTTATGCATGTGTCTAATTTCCAGGATTTTATGGATTAATATCCTTTGTTTTTGGTCATTCTACTTCCAAATGTTCTGAATAATGATCAAAATATCTACATTATACGTTTGTTACTTTGTAGCACTTGTGTCTAAAGGCTGGTTTACATTAAAATAACAATATATCAACATTTATTTTTACAATCCAACATTCTTTTTAAAATGTTTTTAATGCATACAACGTGTGGTCTGACTGTGTATTTTGTTTTTAGCGTGCATTGTGGGATTCTCTGCATGATGTTTTTAAACTTAGCTCATAAAAAAAGATGCTCTCACCGTCAGTTTGTTTGCCTCTTTTATCTAACTCCCCTCTTGTGCAACCTCTTCAGGTGCCGGCGATGCTAAAGGAGAGAAAGGTGACAGAGGAGAGAAAGGTTTGAGGGGTGACACGGGCCCTACAGGACCGAAGGGAGAGTCAGGCTCCAGCTTTGGCTCTGGTTCTGGTTCGTCGTCTCAGGGTGGAGACCGAGGACTCAAGGTAAAACGTCCCTCTGTGCTTTTAAGTGTATGAATGTGTAATGATCTGCTTGAACTACTTGAACTTAAAAGTGTCTTCTTGTTTCAGGGAGAAAAAGGTGTAAAGGTATGTTCACTGTGCTCAGTTTTTTTCATTCAACAAAAGATTCTTCTGTAATAATCAGAATTGAGCTGAGCATCATGTTTCTGTTTTCATCACCAGGGTAACTCTGGCTTCGGTTACTCCGGTAACAAAGGTGAACGTGGGGATCCGGGGCCTCCTGGGCCCCCTGGCCCTGCTGGACCTGCAGCTGAGGTGGTTCGACTCGGGGACGGCTCTGTTGTGCAGCAGGTCTCTGGACCTCAGGGACCGCCTGGGCCACCTGGGTCAAACGGATCTCCTGGACCCGCAGGAACTGATGGAGAGCCTGTGAGTGCAGAGAGAAGATTTTTATATTTTTATGACATTATTGATTATTTTTTTAGATTAACATCATCCTGATTGCTTTTTATCTTTCAGGGTGATCCAGGAGAGGATGGAAAAACTGTATGCCTCTTTCTCTTATCAAGCAGTTTAATATTAAAACAGATGATAAAAAAACCTTACTAAAACCTTTACTAAAACCCCTTTAAATTCTTCTTTTCTTTTCTTTCAGGGTCCAGCAGGGCCACCAGGTTTCCCAGGAACTCCAGGAAGTCCTGGTACCAAAGGCCAAAAGGTTTCAGTGAAATCAGATCAGTGGATGAATGATAGTTTTTGACTCGTGTTTTATAATGTAATATTATTTATTTAGAATGACACTGTATGATATTTTCAGGGTGAGCGTGGAGAGGGTGAACCTGGACTCAGAGGCCCCCCAGGTCCTCCAGGACTTCCAGGATCTGGCAATGGCGACCGCCCGGTACGTCCGCACTTCATGTACGTTTTAGTTTTTATTGATTCAAAGCTGCTTGTTACTGTTTTTCATAGATTTTTGTTTTGATAGACGTTCTTGGACATGGAGGGCTCAGGATTTCCAGACTTGGAAAGGTTTCGGGTACGTTGATAATTCAGCATGTTTTTTTTTTTTCCCCAACTCAGAATATTTTTATACAACTTTCTGATTTGTTATCCAGGGAGCTCGTGGTCCCCCAGGTCTCCCAGGTCCTCCTGGAATTCCTGGGACTTCAGTCACTCTGGGAGCCAACGGTCCAGTAGCTTTTGGACCTCCAGGACCACCAGGAGTAGATGGACTACCTGGTCTACCAGTGAGCATTTAAAGTTGACATGATGTTGAACAATTTCATTATTCAGTTTACTGTTTGCTCTAAGAGTGCAACATGCACTGCCTGATTCACTGTTCTCATCACATATTCAACTTTTAATATTTCTGCATATCCTGTGTGCTGTTTCAGGGCGCCCCTGGTCCTCCAGGTAGACCAGGTCCACCTGGACCTAGCGGAACAAAGGTGAGTACAAAGGCTGATGAATATTTCTCAAAGTTTGCACATAAAACCCAATAAGGTTGACTTCAACGTGAACTTTGAAAATGTTTGTAAATTCTGCCTTTAAAAGTATTCCATCGAGTCTTCGGCCATGCTAACACCTCTGTGAGTGTTGCTTTGGGCTACATGCTAACGTTAGCCTTCTGTCATGCTCACAGTAGCAATTCTGTTCTATTCAAATTATCTAAAGACAATAATTGCTCAAGATTGCATTCAATTAGAAAAGTGGAAGATAAAGTCCTCAGCAGTTTTTCTCTGGGGATTATTAAGGTCTGTACAAAGTTTCATCAGAATCAATCCACTGCTGCTTCAAAGATTCAGGGAGTTGGGCTGCCGCTCTTAAATGTCTTTCTCTCCAGGGTGACGGCGGGGAGCTCGGTCTTCCAGGAGCAGCTGGAGAAAAGGTGAGATAAGTCAAGTCATGAATGTTTTGATCGAGGTTCGCTTTTGTGTTTACATTTCAAATTAAGGCATATGTGTGGCGGGTGTATCCGGATAGATTCTGTCCTCCATGTTTGTTGCTTTTCTCTAGCAAGACTCCCAAGACTCCAACCCTTTCACCTACCTCTTCTCTTACTTTGCTCCGTCCTCTACGGTGTGTAATGGGCACAGGTACTGGGGGGGCGGGTCTCTCTTTTGGTGATTTGTTTCCTCTTTTCTAGTTTTCATTTCCTGTTTTTCATCCATTCAGTTCCTAATCCATATCCTTCTTGCTTTATTTTCTTAACCCGTCAGTAGTATGAGGAGAATAACTTCAGTGTTTTCCAAGGAGGACATCAAACTGCATCACTGACTTTTTGGACTAACCTTAAGTTTTATGGTTTTCATCTCTCTGCTCGCCATCTTTAGCTGCATCAGTCTTTCCATTCATCACTTTGCTGCAGTTTTATTAACAGGAATGTCTAACAGGCCTTATTCAGTCGTACAGCAAAGTCACAATAAACACTGACATGTTCTTCTCACCTCAGGGTGCTCAGGGTGACGTAGGTAGAACAGGTACATCTGGGCAGACTGGGCTTGCAGGGCTTCCAGGTCCCATGGGACCCGTTGGACCCCCAGGACCCCCTGGACCTCCTGGGCCACCGCAACGCTTTGGCTTTGTGAGTAGAGATTACATTCAGGTGCATTCAAACTCTGCGCTGTCGGTCATTGAGATGAGTTTGTGTTGACATTGAACGCAGCGTTAGGGAAATGACACAAAGTGTTAAAGTTGTTTTTATAAAACAACTGGATTCCCTGTATAAAGACATTAGACGACTTTAAAATGCAGCTTATAGTCATATTCAAACTTAGAGAACATTTAGAGACATCAGTCCTTGAATGACACGTTTATATTTATAATGAGAACATTTAAATATCTTGCAAACCTGAATTCAATCTCATTTCATCCAAATAAAAAGACTAAAACAATGTAATGCAGGAAACCTGTCTCATGTTTTGCTTTCTTTTCTTGCAGGGTAACGAGGTTGGATTTGAGGGGGGCAATAGCTTACCTGGCCCACCTGGACCACAGGTACCCCATCATCTATCCCATCATCTATATATTACACCTGTTACCTTGTTGTTACAGTCGATGACTGACCTCATTTCTGTTCTGTCGTTCAGGGTCCAGCTGGTATTCCTGGTCTACCTGTAAGTACTACACAGTCGGCCTGTCTTTGCATTGTTTCAATAAAGTTTCAAACTTACATTTTTTTCTATTTCTTCAGCCTCAGTCCTGATTTCAGTGTTAGCAATGTTTGTTTTGGTTTTCAGGGTAAGCCAGGACTGCCAGGTATCCATGGAAACAAAGGATCAGAGGGACTACGAGGACCTCCTGGGATACCGGGACTCGATGGGTTCTCTGGACAGCCCGTAAGAAACCAGATACATTTTAGGATTTGAGTTTCTTTTGAAGATAAAGATAAAAGATAAAGATAAACTTTATTGATCCCCCGTGGGGGAAATCTGTGCATTTGTGCATTGTATAACTTAAATACATAAATGAATCCCCAACTCATTTGTACAAGCTTTCATGACTGCTATCTGTGTCGTTGTGTTTTTTTAGGGTCTAAAGGGAGACCGAGGAGAGAGAGGAGATCCGGTGAGTCCTGTGAATGTTAAAATACTGATATTTGCTTATAAGAATTAGACAAAAAGATAGACAGCTGATCTGATGGGAATGCTGTGTAGATCTTTTTTTCTAAAGAACATTATTTAAATATCTAAATTGAACTCTGCTTCTTCTTCTGGGTACAATGAATACCTGTGAAAAAAAAAATACTTGTGAGACATTGAACTTGTAACCATGAATATAAAACCTTATGGTGGAACTAAAGGAAAAATGTCATCAGTAAAGCAATCAGGGTTCAACCTCTGGGGAACATGACTTTTCAAACATCACGTTTTAGTGACTAACTTAATCATCTTTGAGATATTTATCCCAAAACTGTATCTAAACCAGGTGGGAGCTCTCAAAGAAAAGTCCATCTGAAATCAAATTCACTAGGGTTCATCCTCCAGGGATCATGAATAGAATAGACAAAATGGTTAACAAATACAAATGCATTTGTTGTATTGGGATCTTTTCAAAGAATATATTTAGAATCAGAACAGATATGTCGTGTAACAGAGAGTCCTCTATTAGAAATGTTGCCTTAATTTGTGTTTTTAAGGGTTTGCCAGGACGAGAGGGTGGGCCACCTGGACCTCCGGGGCCTCCTGGACCTCCAGGACAAGTCACCCAGCAGACCTCAGATGTGAGTTCTGAGAAGACAAAATATGCCTGCCATTCCATCACTAAATCACTCGTTTGGATTGACGTTTGAGCACGCACTCATGTTCACTAACCGTCACTGCCTGCAGAATGTTTGTTCACCTGCGCACTAACTGACCTAACTTTGTCTTGCTGTAGTATAATGACGTTTATTGGAACGAAGGGTGGCAGGTGAGTCCTCCCAGAAGTAACCTCGTCATAAACCTCACTAAACTCTTAAGATATTGAACACTTGTACACAATATATGATTCTTCTCTTCACAAGTTTTTTTACTCTCTCTCCTGCAGGGTGCACTGCCAGGCCGAGCAGGATTCCCAGTAAGTACCGCCTTCATCCGAGCTTAGTCCTGTCTGGGAAAAGACTGATTAATATGATAGAAATAAAGATGGTTAATATATTGGTGTTTTTATTTAGGGGCCCTCCGGACCAAAGGGAGATAAAGGAGACTCAGGTCCTCCAGGATATGCACCTCAAGTAAGATCATCTGGATTTGAAATCATTATTTTGCAATTTACACATTACAAATCGGAGTGGCTGTGCTCAGTGGTAGAGTCGATCATCTCTCAACCAGAAGGTGGTGGTTCGATCCCCAGCTCCTGCAGCCACATGTCCCATGTGTCTGGGAATCAATGAATCATTGTACAAAACTGTGTACGTTGAATTGATTTACTTTCCAGGTGTGTCTTAAAAATGCATGAATAGTTCATAACAGTAGAGTAAAAAGTAAAATATTTATTAATTCATGGTTTTCTGTGCACAAAACAATGTTATTATCTTTCCCAACAGAGGAAACGCAGCACATGTGTTCAGCTATGTGTTGATTGTGTTTGTTGTGTGCACAGGGGCAAAAGGAGAGCCGGGTGTCATCATGGGGCCTGATGGGAGACCTCTGTACCTGGGTGGTCTGGCAGGACAGCAGGTAAAAACAACCTTTATGAATTACAAGCCCATGTTGTGGGCATGCTTGAACTTTTCAGCATCTTCAGTTTTATTTATCATTGTTTAAAACGAATGATTGTCTGTATTCAAAGTTCCTCATTTTTTCTTTAACAGGGCGACAGTGGACCTCCTGGCCCTGTGGGACCTCCAGTGCGTACCATGCTTTTATTTTCTCCATTATAAAAATCTAAACTAAACAAGCTAGAGAAATCACATCATCATCATAAACTTGTATTTTCAGGGTCCCTATGGTCCTGGAGGCCAGAAGGGAGAGATTGGGCTTCCGGGGAGACCAGTAAGTGTTTTAAAAACTGATACTAGAAGTCTGTTTCAAACACTTTGACGCTTTAAACTTCATAAATTATGTGCACTGACTTAAATATCAATCTGAATGTTGTCTTTCATTGTAGGGTCGCCCTGGTCTGAACGGCGCCAGAGGAGAAAAGGGAGATTCTGGCACTGGATCTGGATATGCTTACCCTGTGAGTACCACAGACCAGAAGTCTTTTTGTTGAGTCACCAGAGCCTCAAATTCAGCCCAATTAGCTTCTGCGCTCTAATTTTTAGGTGATAAACTGAAGAAATTAATATTTATTGTATTTTTCAGGGTCCTCCAGGTCCACCAGGCCCCCCTGGACCTCCTGGAGCGTCCAGTCCCTACGACAGGCAAAGTGTGAGTGGAGACCTGAAACATTAACCTCAGTGTAGTGATGTGTTTATTGAAAAGGCATCATGAAAGTGTTTTTATTCACTGGTTTAGTGTGAACTCAGACTTTACCTTCAGGCTTTAAGTTTTCTTCAATGTTTCTATTTGATAATATAATTCTTTGTTTTTATTCCAGGGATATGATGATTCCTCCAGGTATTATCCAGGTAAACTCATTTTCTGCTGTATTTTAAATTTCTTGAAAAAAAAAAAAAAAAGGTTGAAAGGAATCAGTTCACATTTTTAAAAAGCTATGATTTGTTTTCTCTCAAAGAGTTGAAGGTGTACCTTTATGTCTGTTCATTCAAATATAGCGCTACAGCTATTAGCCGTTTGGCTTAGATTAGCATAAAGACTGAAACAGACTGAGGATGAAAGGTGAGTGAACAGGGAAATGTTTGTGTTTAACTGAAGAAGTTGTTTCTGTTCCTCGTTTTGTTTTAGCCGCTAAAGGAGAGAAAGGTGACCAAGGACCGCCTGGGACGCTTGAAATTCAAGGTAACTCGACCTGAAAGTTTAAAAGTAAATGATGTTTTCAGTGTGTGGATACATTTACAGTTTTTCTACCTTCTCTCTCTCTCAGGCTACGGGTCGCTTGACATTTACACTTTGAGAGTAAGTCTGAACTCTTAACTCTGAGAATCACATGATGACTATTTCTTAGCTAAATGTTTTGAATGTCTACTGGATATTTCTTGATGCTTATGTGTCCAGAATGAGATGAAAGGGGAAACTGGAAGTCCCGGCTTCAAAGGAGAGAAAGGAGAACCGGCTGGAGGACATTATGACCCCCGTTATGGAGGAAGCGGATTCCCAGGGCTGCCTGGACCTCCTGTGAGATCACATACATTTATAAACATACAGCTTCACTAAATCTAAACAACAAAACCTCATTCTTTTTTTGTCATTATCCCATCAGGGTCAAAAAGGCGACTCCATCGTTGGTCCTCCTGGCCCTCAGGGGCCATCTGGTCCACCAGGAAGAGGCTACGATGGACAAGCCGGACCACCAGGCCCTCCTGGACCACCAGGCCCATCCTTACCTGGGGCTTACAGGGGGACACAGAGTGAGTTATGATACTCTATGATACAGTTTTAAATCTTTCTGTTCAGTCCGAATTGAGCTCATGTAACTCCCTTTGATTGACAGCTATCAATATTCCTGGACCACCGGGACCCCCTGGTGCACCTGGAATACCTGGACACTCCACAGGGGTGAGAAATCGCTTTATCCGATAATATATCATGAATACAAACACCACTGTCAATAAAGCTGAAGGGAAACATATCCAGAGTCCAGATCGTTCAAAGAGAGAGTGAGAAATTCAAAGTTCTAACACTTGACTCCATGGAGAGACTGTTTTTATTTTCTGTTACTCACCATCCTGTCAGTGTTTCGGGAACACTAATACTTCAATCTGAATAAAACCTGCACAGTGATCATCAAAGTAAGGAGTGTTTTCTGTGTGCAGGTGACCGTTTTGAGGTCTTATGACACCATGACAGCCACCGCTAGAAGACAACCTGAAGGCTCCCTGGTTTACGTTTTAGACCAAACTGATCTCTACTTACGGGTCCGAGATGGAGTTCGTCAAGTCCAGGTAAAAGTTGCCCCTCTTGATGTTGATCAATCTGCAGCAGAGTAGTAAAAGTACTTCCTGAGTACATTTACTTCATTGTCTTTTTTTTTACAGCTTGGAGGCTATATTCCTTTGCCCAGTGAGGATGTAAGTCTAATATATATCTTTTTTTTCCTCTTCAGACTAAATAATGTCACTTTTTAAAATCTGAATCATATTTGTTATTTTCAGGGTAATGAGGTTGCAGCTGTGGAGCCCCCACCTGTCGTCCCCTACTACCCTGACCACCACTCTCACACCGACACCTCTGCTCGCGACGCCCAAGGGCAACCCGAGAGTCCGGTCCACCCCGGCACCGAGCATCACTCACACCCAGACCAGCATCACCCGTCGCACCCAGATCCACGCAACCCAACTCACCTCGATCCCAGATACCAGCCTGACAACAGGTATCAGCCCGACCCGCGGTACCCCGTACCCACAGATCCCAGGTTTCCCAGTTACTCCGACCGGTTTAACCAACCAGACGGCAGGTATTCTGTTCACACCACACAGGCTCGTCCTGTGTACCCGGACACTCACCACGCAGTCACTCCTCAGAGGAGGCCGGCTCCTCCTGAGCCCCAGACTCCAGTCCACCGTCATAACTCAGGTCCAGGGGTAAGAGAGGTTCACTTTTACATCATCATGTCCTTATCTCTGATATATTTACTGATCGATTCGAGTGTTTCATCTTTATTTAATCTGTATTGTTATTGCTGAGGTTTTGTAATGTGTATGTCAATGTACTGTGCAATGCATGTTAATGCTACAGTAACAGTTAGTGGATCTATTTCTATCAATATGTCTAGTTAACTTCGGAGCTAACACCTTGTTATCTAGCTAACTTTCTTATTAACATCAGGCTTTCTATCTAGCTTGGCAGCTAACGCTCCAGCTAGTTTTCTATCTACATATTAAGGTTACCTCGCTATCTATCCATCCATCCTGCTAACCTTCTCCCCAGCTCAAGCAGACTTTCTGGTTAACCATCTCGCTATGCAGTTAGCTGTCCAGCAAACTTTCCTGCTGACTTTACAGCCATCCGTCTGTCTCATCGATCGATCTTGTAACCAAGTTTAAATTACGGGCCGTGCCTCATACGGCAGCATAAATGAATAGCTCTGTTGTCAGATTAAATAGTAACCCTGGAAATGTTTCCGCAGCTCCACCTGATCGCCCTGAACAGCCCTCAGAGCGGCTTCATGAGGGGAATCCGCGGTGCAGACTACATGTGCTTCACTCAGGCTCAGGCCGTCGGGATGAAGGGAACTTTCCGGGCCTTCCTGTCCGCCAAACTCCAGGATCTCCACAGCATCGTCCGCAAGGCAGACAGGGACCGAATGCCGATAGTCAACCTTAATGTAAGGTTTTTTTAAGAAAAAAAGCTGCAGCTGTGAAATAAACAACAAATGTACTCTTTGGTTTACTAATAATTTGTTAAACTTAGAACCAGTCTTCACCACTCGCTTCTAGTTCATATTGTGCGTCTATTTTTCAGGATGAGGTTCTGTTTGACAACTGGGACGCCATCTTCAATAATGGCAGGATGAAGGACAACGTGCCCATCTACTCCTTTGATGGCAAAAACATTATGAGTGACAGCACATGGTAACCCAATGATGTGATCTTTCAAAATAAAATAACAAGATCATTGATCAGTTTCTTTCATATTTAGAAATAGGCGGGGGAAAAAAGAGAGGTTAGAAAAATCACTCAAAGTTCCTCTGCTCATACCATCTTTTTTTAAATATCCCAGGCAGGAGAAGATGTTGTGGCACGGGTCGACCAGCGGCGGGCTGCGGCACGTTGATAGCTTCTGCGAGACGTGGCGTGTGGGCGACCAGGCGCTGACCGGCATGGCGTCGTCGCTGCAGAGTGGCAGCCTGCTTCAGCAGAGCTCCAGCAGCTGCTCCAGCTCCTACGTGGTGCTGTGTGTGGAGAACAGCTACGTCCACTCCAGGAGATAGACACACACACACACACACACACACACACACACACACACACACACACACAGCAGTGGATGCTTTAATCCACACACACACGTCTCTGTGTTTGCACCACATGTGGTGATTTGTAAATATGTTTTTTCACATGAATAATGAGTTAATGTTTGTTAGCCCTTCATTTAGGGTGCTTTAAAGAATAATTCCACTAGTTGAACCAAAGTTAAGCTCAGGTGACAGACGGTAACACACCCTCCAGCAGCCATGTTGGAAGTTTCATGACTTTATTAGAAGTCAATTAGAACTCAATTAGAAGCAGGCTGAAAACAGGCTGTGAACTTAAACGCTTTATTTCTTCTCTGTTCTTTCATCGCGCTAATATTCATCCAAATATTCAAATAAGCCTTCCTGGTGTCTTTAATCTTTAATTTTTTTTTAACAAAACATGTCATGAATCAAAATCAGGACTTCTTATATCAGGGCTCTACTTCATAGAAGGCCGTTTTTTTAATCTGTCACATTTTTCAGCTAGAAGAAATCTCTCTCTCAGCGACGGATATACCACAATGATCATGGACCACAACAAGCGTTTCATGCTTTCTTCTCCGCCTGCCTGTTTAATCAAAAACATGTCATCTTGAAAACAAACCAAAGGTGCAGCTAAAGTACCTAAACCATCTTATATGTGCTAATAATGGTCTCATTAAGGTTTCCTGTACCTTTAAAAACCACATTTCCATTTCACAGACCGCATCAGTCGTCAGTGACATGCATCAAAGACAAGTTTGGATAATAATGAAGCCTTTTCTTTCTGCCGTCAATCAGACATTCCAGCATCCTAAAGCAGCATAAACATGAGTTATCATACGTGAAATGTGTTTTTTTATTTTTTATTTTATGACTTCTCTTTTTACACTGATGTTTCCTGTAACCCAAAGCACTTGATTAACCGTTTTTATTTTCTACTTTTGCTACTGTTGTTTTTCTTTTTTTTTCTTGGGATGATATTTTCAAATCATTTTTTTTAACAATAACAAAGGGATATTTATTTTTTATAAACTGTGCATTTTCTAGTTTAACTATGACGTGTGATAGCAACATTTCCAAATATAACCAGCTGATATGCAAACCGATGCAACTTAAGGGACAAAGTTTGTGCACGAGCAAATCCAAGTAATGTACAGATTTTTTTTTTTACATAGGAGTCAGCCATATATGTTTGTCAATGCACTGTTGCTTTTTATATTTGATTTCAAGTTTAGCTTTTTATTCCAAAACAGTGAATGCACTGCAGTCAGGACACACATAGGAGAGCATTTAAACAACCTGCAGTCTGTGGTGTTAACCTACAGTCTAACCTACAGTCTGAGGTGTTAACATATAGTCTCTGGTGTTAACCCAGAGGGGAGAGTAGATTGACAGTTTTATTCAGCAGTGCCAAAGTCAAAGCAGTGAGATTTATTATCTGTTATTCTTCTTGTGTCTCATTGAATAAACCAGTGTGGAAATGAGTGTTTGATTGTGGGCTGCCTGTTTGTCGCTGTTCACGAGGTCATTCTGGAACAAGGCTCTTCAAATGAAGTTCGAGATATCTTCATGCTAAAGGAAATATAAGTGTCAGGCTCTAAAATCACAATTGATGCTGATGCCATGAAAAATTGGCACATGAAACTTCTGCAAACAAAGCCAGAGGTCTCATCAGTGATGAGGTTCCTGTATGCTCAACAAGTCAGCAGTCATAACATAGAGAAGTGTTTTTATAGTGAAAGCATAAAGTACAAAATAGCAATACATGTTTTTACACCCTGCATTTTAAAGAAACAAAAATAGTTTGGAAAAAGTTACGATACAGTAGAAAAACCATATTTACAATTAAAACGCATTCAAGTGTGATTGAGTGCATGCGGAAGATTTGACTAACACATTTAAATGTGAAGATCTAAAAACCAGCCTGTGACTTATTCACAGTTATTCAATTTAAGTTATAAATAAAATAATAAAAAAGTTCTCAGTTATAAAATCTTAATCTTTAAGACACCGACAGTAACATTTAGAGAGCCTTGCTCATGTAAACTGAAAAGAAGATAAAATATGTATGACATTTTGTCTGAGAAACAAAAGGAGACATTGTGTCAACAGGTGATAGAATACGAGGAAGATGCTGGTGTTCTGCTGACGCGAGGACGACCATCCAGCAGCTTGTAGTTCAGGCCAATCACAAGTGAGCAGAATTTACTGACGCCCACAAAGTCGCAGCAGAGGATGTTGACTCCGCCCCCCTCGCGGCCACCTGGCCGCTGCTTGCTCGTCCATTCGAGCAGCAGAGAGAGAGCCCTCACCGTCATCTTCCTCATGCTCTGGAGCGGATGGAGGAGGACGTAGGGAGTGTCCTCTGTCAGGTTCAGACCGCTGACGTAAAAACCGTCTGAAAAACCAACCATTGACAAAAAACTTAAGAGGCAACATTTTATACCAATTATAGATCAAAAATGTTCTTTTTACTGTAATACATTCATCTAAAAGCTAAAACACTGATTGTCTTTAGGAGTTTATACAACACCGTTATAAAATAAAATTCATTCTTAGATATTAAACTAGTCAAAGTTAGCTTCATCCTGACCAAATAAACATTTGAATACATAAAAGTCTTGTACATTTTTGGTATTTGAAGTTGTTTTAGTTGCTAAAATGTTCTGTTTTTCTTCTTTCTGGATGCAGGACATTCTCTGGTTATTTAGTTTATTTCTAGTGTCTTTGATGAATGAATTAAATACTGTTCACATCGCTCCCTATACCTGGTCGGCCTTTGCTCTTTTGGTCCTCCAGGTAGGCGATCACCTTCTTAGGGTCGGGGCTGTCAGCATACCTGGAGACAGAAAGTAACGAGGCGGGGTGACTTCATGTGAAATTTAGTTTTTTAGTGTTATCACCTGCTTCTTTTAATACTACTGTAACAGTGTTGACATAAAGCATCCGCTTGTATTTTTACCAGTATGGTATCCCGGGCCACAGTTGTGGATGCTGCAGCACCATCTGCTGGTCAGCGTAGGAAATAACAATCTGCCAACCTCTGCACCAACAGGAACGTAGAGTGGGTGTCTCCTGCATATAATCGGTAAAACTGTAAGTAATGAACTTCCTCTTAACTTTTGTATTCACTTCATTAATTCAAATAAAAATGAAAAAGTCCCCCAAAAAAAGTCCTACCTTTGAGGAGCAGAGTTTATTCCCAAACAGCATGATGATGAACTCGACGAGGTTGACGTGATCTTCGTCAGTCAAGGATTCAAAGTGGGAACAGGAAATGATCACGATCTCTTTTGGATGAGCATCCAACCAGGTAGCCAGTTCATCCAGAGCCTCCTACACACATGCACAGACACAAGCGAAACGTTTTTTTATTCAATATATCCTGAGTAATAAATTCTATATTTACGTTTTTTTCTCTCTTCAGTGTTGTGGCTCTTCAGTTCATTTAGTACATTTAGTTCAAACTTAACAGGGTGTATAATGTTGGGAGGGACTGTTCTCCTGCGCATGTGTTTGTGTACCTTCACAGCCAGCAGTGTGTAGATGCCATGAGCGAAGAACAACTTGCTGCCTGCTGCCGGCTTCCTGGCGATCCGCAGGTCAAAGAATCGAATACCGAGATCGCACTGTTCACTGAGGACTGATTGCTGAAAAACAGGTAGGGATATAAGAAGAGAAGAAGTTTACAAATATAGAAAACTGTCCAATAATGAAATGCATGACAAACCATCCATTGGTCCTTTAATTTGGATACCTTGATCCTTTTATTTCTACAATAATGTCAACACAGGATACAAAATGACGTTCCACTGCGTCGATATACTCAATTATTGTAATCATAAAGCAGTTAGGCCTCCATGTAACTGGATCAGTTACACTCTGACAGGCTGAAACGGTTGATAAACAGTTTGCCACCTGAGTGTGATCACCTGGAGCCTTCGCTTCACGAGGCTTCACAAAGTGCTCAGAGATGAATCACACACACTCAAAGGAAGACATGAGGGCATTTTTCACACTTCTTTCCAGTAATTAAATACTTGGTAATTTAATATCCAGATCAGACTATGTGAAACCATAAATCTGCCGCAGAAATTAGGCTGCACCTGTGTGGTCTTGCAGTCCTACCTGTGTGGTGGCCCAGCGGGATACACAGGGTCGAGTCCAGCAGGGACACATCCTGTCAATCACTCTGAGGAGGCGGGGCTCTGATTTTAGGACAGGTGATGAGAGGTCCAGACAGAAAGACATGCTGTCGTGACTCCCTGTAGTGAGAGGAGGAGGACAGGTATTGATTTAAAGAAACAGTAACATATGTGGGAACCCCCTGCTTATGATGTCTTTGGAAATGTAACGCAGAACAAGAGATTTCGGATAAAGGCTGCAGATGCTGCAAATTTAAACGAAAGTGAAATATAAATACATTGAAAATAGAATAGGTGTTGTTAATATTTTTCCCGTTAAATTAATATTCTGTGTTTATTTTTTTTCTAAAACAACCGGGCTATTTCCGTGTTACCGGGTACAGCCAGGCTCCACAGCGGGACGTCCAGCAGCTCCTCGGGCAGACGGGACATCCAGTCCGGGTTTCCAGCCGGCTGCTGCCGCTCTCCCTCCTCCATGGCCTTCCTCTGAAACATTTAGCTATTCAAGGCAATCAGTTATTCGCTAAATGTTTCATATTTTTCATTTCGGTAGTGTAACATCCTCATTTGATCTCGACTTGTATCTTAAACGCCGTATGTTTACAAAAGTCTTCCGTGTTTATTTCTGTTCTTCTTCAGTGGAGTGTAATGGCGGTTAGCGTCCATAATTGGCGCATTATCGCCCCCTAGTGGATTAGATCAGCAGTGCACAAGCTAAAACTTCCTGTTTTAGATAAATAAAACCGAATTAACTGAGCTATAGGAGTTTATGTTCGAAATAAAAGCCAAGTAAACAAAGTAAAAACATGCTAATTAACTAGATTAATACGGTAATGTCATGTCTAGGTCTAATTTAATATAAATAATAAGTCGGCTGATGTCAAAGGAACTCTCGTTGGTGCTATTTTTGGAGACTCTCAACATTGTAAACATGAATATTTAGTGAATGTACATATTAACTTGTATTAATTTGGTATGCATGACATTTGCCTTGAAATAGTCATCTCTATACTATTCTGGCTTTAACTTGTATAAAGAAATGTAAAAGTTCTAACATAGCAACAGTTTCTCCTTTTATGTCTTCATTTGATTTCTTATACTGTTTTCTGAATAAGGCCAAATATGACAAGTAGACACAGCTTTCATTTCCTCCTTTTTGTGCTTTTTTCAATGGAACAAGCAGCAGTAGGTTGTTCAGGGTCAAACTTTGAGCTCCACACTCATTCATCAGTGTGAGTCCTGTCAAAATGTCTTTCATCCAAACACCAATCCCCTTCTGCTGTAAGACGCTTTGAATTCAAACGTCAGAGTCAAAAGCTCTAAGATGTAAAAGATCCAACCAAACGCCCGCAACGTCTTCTGCTCAGAGCCAAATTTGCATTCTAATGAAGAAAAACGTGGTGGTATGTGGGAGGCTCTGGCAAACAGCCTGCTTTATGAAGTGTCTGCCGGCTGCATGTGAGTCGGCTGCAGAGGGAAAGAGGAGAGGAGGCTAAGAGCGTTCACTGACGAAGAATGAAAGGAGGGAAATCAGATTGTGTGTTTGATTGAATGGCTGCTGGTGAAGATTCAATAATGACAAGGGAGAGATTCTGAGAAGCCTTCAGTATCAGTTTTTTCCTCTGGTTGGAGGGAATTTTGAATACAGAGCTGTATGGGAGTCTATCTGGGTTTTTACTTGATCAATTAAAGGAGCATTGTGTGGAAAAAGTGAGGAGCAAAGATGAACCAAACAGCATCTGTCTCCCATCAGATTGATTGTCAGCCAGCCAAGGATTCAAAGGTAAGTGGGATTTCTTTATATTGTGCTTTTCTTTTTTCCCCCATTGTTACCTCCTAAATCTCCTCCTCATCCCCTAAATGTTCCCTTTTTAACCAAGCTATAAATCTGCTGTGCATCGGCTCATAATCATGAGCTTGGTGTTCAGCAATTAGTGACAAAAAAAACGTTCCCCCCCAAAAGGTGGATTTTATTTGCTCGTCACTATTTTACTGTGAAAATAACTCTTTTTATCTCATGTTTCTCCTGAAACCACTACATTTAATACATTATTTTAAAAAGAGCTCTTTTGAAAGTTGGCTTTTTTTTTGGTTCTGAATAACCCTAAAATGCAACATTATGGATCAGTGACTAAATATCAGCTATTGTAAATCATTAAATGTCTCAGATTAAAAGCTATTTAGTCTTAAAACTTTCTTTAACACAAACGTGTGGTGTTTAGCATAGAATAGAATTCTATTCTATTCTATTCAAAAGGATGGAGAAACAAGCACTGATATCTCCTCTTGGGGTCAGCTATGCTATCAGAGTAATAGTGTTGATTCCTTTACAAGCTTTTA